GAAAAGTAATGAAACTAAAAAAACATCTCCATATATGAAATTTAAATACGTTTATTATTGAAGATTTTTAATCAATTAATTAAATAGATAAACAAGCTTTTTATTTAAAATGATCAAAATAAAATAAAATAAAAACAAAAATAAAATATTTTATTATATTAATATTCAAAATAGCATCAATTATCATTATATTCTTGATATTTTGGATCAATCCAACATTTTTTAATAAAAAATGTTAACTTCAGCTTATTGGTCAATCATTAAATTTTGATCTTGAGTGACAACGTCATATTCCAAATTCCTTTACTCAGCTTTCTCTAAAATAACTATACAATTTCTTAATATTATTTTTACTTTTCTAGTAAACCTCAAAACTCATATTCAATTTCAATATAAACAACAAATTTATTCAAAATGTCACGTCGATATGATTCTCGAACCACTATGTTTTCGCCAGAAGGTAAATTACTTTTTTATATCATTAAGATGTCATTATCAAAATCATATTAAATTAAAATTGAAATTCTTTTTATTTCCCATCTAGGTCGTTTATTTCAAGTAGAATATGCTATGGAAGCCATTTCTCATGCTGGTACTTGTTTAGGAATTTTAGCTAGTGATGGTGTAGTTATTGCAGCTGAAAAAAAAGTAGTTTCTAGTTTATTAGAAACGGATAAATCCACTGAGAAATTATATATTATTAATGAGTAAGTTTAAAACTAAATTTATTCTTCAATATTATGTTAAAAAATAATGAGAATAATTAATTAATTGGTACTAATGTATTTTTTTTAAATGGTATAGTAATATAGTTTGTGCTGTTGCTGGATTAACCAGTGATGCTAATATTCTAGTAAATTCAGCACGTCAATATGCTCAATCTTATTTAATGAATTATGGTACGGATATACCTATTGAATCATTAGTAAAAAGGTTATCTGATTCTAAACAAGCTTATACTCAATTTGGTGGTAAGTTAAGTTTCTTTTTTTATTTCAATAATAAATTAATAATAATAAATTAATTTTTTAATTAGGTTTAAGACCATATGGTGTTTCCATTTTGTACGCTGGATATGATGATTCCCATGGATTTCAATTATATCATAGTGATCCTAGTGGTAATTATGGGGGTTGGAAAGCTACTTGTATTGGGGCTAATTTTTCATCTGCTCAGTCCGTTCTTAAGCAAGAATACAAAGAAGAATTAAATATTGATCAAGCATTAGAAATGACAATTAAAGTGTTATCAAAAACTATGGATACTGCTAATTTAACTGAAGAAACTCGTAAGTTTTTTTTATTAGAAATTACTTTTGGTTCTAAAAATTAATTTGATTTTTCTTTGAATCTAGTTGAATTTGCTACTTTAAAATTAGTAGATGGTAAACCTAAATATCAAATTTATTCACCTAGTGAAATTAAGGAATTACTTGAGTTATATAAGGATGCTTTAGAAACAGAAAAGATTGAAGCTTGAATTTGAAATTACTTTAAATTTTATTAAATGAAAGTATATTTTTATAAAATTTTGATTTTATTTTAAATTGTTTATTTTATTATAACAATATTTAATATGTTAAACATTAATTTTATTTATTCATCTTCTTTAGCTCCAAAAAGATGCCAAGTTTTTAACCAGTTTCTAGATTTAAATTCTTCAGATGGAAATGTCATTCCAAAAGTCATTGGAGCAAAGTAGATAAAAGTGAGACAAATCATTATTATTATTGAAAAAAATAGCTTGTTTTTAAAATTGTTAGTTTTGTTTTGAACTAATAAATCTAATGTATATGGTAATGCTAAACAAGCTATATAAAGTGATGGAAAATAATGATGAACATATAATACTCTTCCCATTAAAAAAAACGGTAAATATTGTAATAGCCATCCACCTACAATAGCTTTAAATGCAAATATATAATTTTCCCAATCATCTATAAAAAATTAATATTTAATGTATATTTTTTATAATAATAATAATAATAATAATTTCTAACTTCCACTTACCTTTCACCCATTCTTTAATATTTCTTTTCATTCTAATACAATAATATCCAGTAAGTCCTACAAACAACAAAAGTCCAAAGGTTGAACCCCACCAAACTAATGGATTACCTAACATATAAAATTTAATTTCATTATCTCCCCAACCACACATTCGGATTCCTCTTCTCATTAATGGCCAATCTAAAGCATGAGATGTTAAATGATCGAATTTATCTTCATCTGGTGTCAAGGCATTATTTGTAGACCACATAGCTCTATTTAATCTTATAAAATCTCTATAAAAAGTTTCAGGTAATTTCCTTTTTTCAGCTGGGGGTACTATAAAATAGAATAATATTTAATAAAGTTAGAATTAAATTTTAAACTGGCTATTTTGACTTACATCCTTCATAACTTAATGATTCAATATTCCATAAAGTTTCTTCATTTTTAGATTTGCCATCTTTAACACAATAAACTTCGGATTGGGAATAACCCCAATCAGGTAGAGTTGTAAAATCTTTAGCTAATAAGCAATCTAATTCTGGATTTCTTAGTTGAAATCGAGTACTTAATGTTTGTATAACACCTGGTTTATTTGAATCTAATAAATCATCATATATTTCTATTTTCCATATCTCATATTTATTGAATGTTTTTGCATCCCCTGAAGCACTTACTTCATATGCTCTTTTTCCAGTTATAATAGCGTCATGATCTTTTTGGACTCTTAAGTTTTTTTTTGTTTCAACATGGTATAATTTAATTAAATTGCCACTTCTGACTACCTTTGGATTAATTTCCTAAGTACTTATTTAATATACGTATTCATATTATATAATACATATAAAAATAGCTTACTTTTATAGTATTAGCATCAACAGTAACTTCATTATTTTCCGTTGTGTTAAATAGATCATCAAAAGCATGTTTGATTGTCCAATCATTATTACTATCTTTATGGCCATAGCAAGTAATTTGTTGTTCTTTACTGCCTTCTGGATAATTGTGAGGATGACTATGTAATAAACCACCATCTAAACTCCCTGATCTTATAGTAGCATTACCCATAAATACTAATTCTAATTACAATAGAATAATATTGAATTTAATATTTTAATTAATTTATAAAACAACTTAATTACCTGGTGGTGATTTCCATAATTCATTTCGATTTAATCTAGCTTGAAATAAAGTATCCATAGTAGCATCTCCAGGTCCAGAATTATTTAAGATTTTAAAGTGAATTTTAAAACATAATAAATAAACAAAGACGGGCATAAATATTAGTCCAAATGCTCTAGTTATCCAATGTTTAGCATAAACATACTATAATTAAATTGAATTTAAATATTATAATTATTAGTATAATACAATTTTAATGCAACCTACCCAACTAAAATTAGGTTCACTTAATAATTGATATAAACTTTCAATTGTATACTATTAAATATAAATTATTACATTATTAATTTAAATTCAAATTAACTCTTACTAATCCGACTAATGCCACAGCAAAAAATCCAATCCATTTAACACTATAAAATCCTTAATATTATAAATAATACAAATTTATATATATCTATACCTTGACGCCAAACCCAAAGAAATACCCAACATAATTAAATTATAATACCAGTCTCTAGTAAATGGACTAAAGAACAATTATTAAATCATTAAATCCAAATAAATAAAGCCATTTCACTCACTTTTTCTGACAGGCATGAAAAGCAACAAAATAGTATAATGACATAGCAATAAAACACAATAACATAGAATCCAATAAAATAAATCTAGAAATAACAGTCAATCCATTATCTAAAAAAAATGCCATTAATATACATCTTTAGCAAGCCTCTTTTCTCATTTTAATTACCAAATAACACCATCGATGCAGCTAATAGAGCTGCATTATCGGACATATTCAATTTCTTGGCAGTAAGAAAACTTAGTGGAACCAAAGCAACGCCAAAGTTGGCGTGAAACCATCTCATAAACGTATAATTCATACCTTCTGGATAATTTCCACCTTCAAATTTAAATGTACCATCATAACCTGCAATTTTACCTCCAACGCCAACTAGCATTTTACCTAATGGCGGGTGCACATCATGGTAAAAAGTACCTCGTAAATAATGAGAACCAAACTTTAAAGTTATTTGTTAATGGGTTTTATTTTGTATATTATACATAAACTTACTTTGCCAAAATGTACCTGATTGCATAAGTTAAATTGTTAGTCATGTTATAAAATTGTTCAATTCATAAAAGTTTTACTTCATCCCAAATAGGTTTATTTGCTGCTCCAATACGATAATAACGAGTAAACATGGATAATAATGTCAATATTGTTAACCATATATTTAATTTATTTTTAATGTAAAATTGAACATACTAAATAAATGAGAACAATATTAGTATTGTCATTTAGGAACTCAAATTTCTCTGTGATCAATAAAACAAACGCTTACTCTGTTGTTTCTGAATTTAAAGTTATCCTCTTCCTTTAGTGAAAGTTCAGGTTTTAAAAACTTATCATTAAATTTTACTTCCGATTTAACTTTATCATAATCATAATCCACATCTCCTTTATCTTCGCCAGTATAATTCAATTCCAAACTAGTATGGTGATCCTCAGTAGTATTTTGACCGGTTCGTCTCTTTTGTAATTGATTATTCATCCTTTTTAGTAAAAAAAGAAGCTTTTTGCAAATGAAAAGATAAATTTTTGATTTCTGAATTTTTGATTTTGGAGTTTAATTTTTGTTCTGATAAAATCGATATTTATAGTCACTATGATGTAATCTTTAAATTATAGTACCTTAAGTTAATTAAAAAGAACACTAGCAAATTTGTATGTTTAATAGCAAAGTAGTTCAATAAGTTTTTGAATCATCTTTATTGATTTTGATACCTATACTGATAATGTAGGAACCATGTTATACAGGATTTGATAATTAAAATTGTTTGGGATATTTAATATGTTAAAATATCAAGTTACGTCAACCTATAGTCTCAATAGTGTAGTGGTTATCACGCTTCCTTCACACGGAAGAGGTCTCCAGTTCGAACCTGGATTGGGACATAAGCGGTATCTGTTTTTTTTCTATGGAAGATAAAGATATCAAGTTACAAAAAAAATTCAAGTTTTATCATTCTCTAAGTTAAGTGATCTTCTAGTTGGTTGTATTATAGTTTGTGGTTCTATTATTGTTATTAAAATAGCTCAATAGTTAAGAATTTAAAGTACAATAAGCTATTTTTAATTATTTTATTCTTCATATTTTATATTGAGGATGTATTTTGTGTTTAAGAATTTTACTGACAATTTTTCCACTCAAACAGTACTTAAGAGATGGAAAAAGTGATGAAGTCAAAAAAAACACCCTCATTTATTGTTCCAATAGTACAATCACTGGCAAGTTGTATGAAAGCTGGATATTAAAGAAACGCTTTGATATTTCATTAAATTTTTTCATGCTTTTTCCTTTTATTGATCAGTGATACTAAATCAATAGTCTACACAGAAACTTTAATAATAGCGGTATTTAAAGACACTATAAAATATAAAAAACGGAAGATATTTTAATATTTTCAACACTCACTTTATTTAACAACTTTTGTTACTTTCTAATAAATTTTAAAAGATTAAATAAACTCTATGAAATACATAACAAGGCTTAACAATATACAATAACCATTTCAACTTTTTATCAATTCACATTGAAAGTGATTTAGCAGTGGATTTAGCAGTGGATTTAGCAGTGATCTACTTCTATTTGACTCATTGTCAGAACTTAAGTAACTTTAAATATTACTTTTAAAAGCTATAAAAAATTCAACTAAAAAAATATCATTATTTATTTAAAGGATTAAAGATTTAAAAGAATTTTTTTTGATAAGAATGACCACAATAAATGCATCTTAATCTAGGTGGAATTTTAAATGCAATTCGATTTAAAGTCCGAATAAACTGTTCATAATAAGTGAAATGGCCTTCATCTAATGGCTGGTAAACATGTATCTTTGAAGGTGAATTAGTACATGGACATTCGTGCTGTAATACTCGTATCCTTTTAGCTATAATTTCTCCTTTTTCTTTTTCTTCTTCTTTTTCTTCTTCTTCTACTCGAGACCTTTTTAAGTTAGTTTGCTCAAGCTTCTCTGCTATTTTTTCTTCACCATTACTTTGCTTAGCCTCTACATCTCCATTTTCTTCATTTTCATTATGTTCTACCTTACTTTCAACCTTTCCTGTATCCTCTACTATTTTTTCTTCAGTGCTACTTTGATTGTCCTCTGTATCCCCATCTTCTACACTCACGCTCTCTTGTATCTTGGTTTCTCTTTTTTCTATATCTTCCGTTATTTCTTCTTCAGTATCAAAATGTTCTGTCTTCCCATTTATGTTTCCTTGGATCCTGCTTTCTCCTTTTCTTGTGCCCTCCGCTATTTTTTCTTCAACAACGTTTTGATTGGCGTCTAGGTACCCATTTTTCCCATTTCCATTCTCTTGATTATTACTTTTTTCCTTTTCTACATCCTCCGTATTTTCTTGCTGTACTATTTCTTCTAATGCTTTTTCTTTGGTACTATCACCTGTTTTTATCTCTTTAGTAATATTTTCTTCATTTTTGTCTACCCTTGTTTCTTGAATACCACTTTCATCTTGTATGCTCTCAGTAATCCTTTCTTCTTTTATTTCTAATTTAACTTCTTCATTGCTGGATTCTTTTTTTATAAATTAATTAATATTTAAAAATTAAGTAAAATAATTACCATTATAAGATTCCTCAACGATTTTTATCATTTCTTCAGCATCAATTTCCGCAAACTCAAAAATATTAATTTTTTTAAGACTTGAGTTAGATCTCAATGGTCTACCGCTCTTCGTTGGCGTAAGATTTTCACTTACTTCCTTTTTATCATTAGTATTAACTTTTCTTCCCATCTTTTTATCATTAGTGTTAACTTTTCTTCCCATCTTTTTATCATTAGTATTAACTTTTCTTCCCATCTTTTTACTATCGGTACTAACTTTACTTGCTATCTTTTTGTTGTCAGTGTTAGCCTTTCTTGCCATTTTTATATGTTCTTTTTTCGAGTATCTTAATATCGTTTATCAATAAAATGCTTTAGTTTTTTGAAATTTAAAATTTAACAGTTAAATTCTAGATTTAATATTTATAATTAAATATCCTTAAAACGGAGTTTTATTGAATAAAATTATAATAATAGTAACCAGTTATTATTTAGCCAATTTTTTTCATTAACGAAGATGACGTATAAATCTAAATCAATTATCTACTGTGATCAATTTAACACAGAGTGACCAATTTTTTGTTTGCCAAATTTAACTTAAGCCATGCTATGAGAGCTTCAACTAATCAGATTAACCCAGTGCCTTCTTAGGACTGACTTGATTAGTTGAAATTGCTTATATCACAGAAGTTTATACTAGCGAAATTTAGAAAATATTTTAATATAATTTCCAACAATTAAGCGCATATGCCGTATATTTATGTCATGGCCAGAAGTAGCTTTTAACCAGTGAACCCATAAACTTAAGCAATCAAGTCAATTAGCGTTTAAATATTATCTATTGGCTATCAAACGTGTAAAAATACTATTAGTATAAGAAGTTAATTTTAGTCGCTTTTGACAAAAACTTAGAGACCCTTGAGGGGTTAGTATTCCATCAAAAAAAATCTAAAAAACCACCTTTTATATTCCAGAATTCTAGCCGATTATTCTCATTTGCTAAAATTTACATAATGGCTTTTTAATTGGATAATTAACTACAATTAATTTAATTTAACAGAAACTCCAAAACTTACATATATAGCTAATATCTTCTTTCCAAAATAAAATATTATATAAGTACCTACTATAATATTTTGATAATACCATATGGAACTTAATGTTATTTTTTTATCTTTAATAATTTAATACTCAGCTATATAAAGACATGATATTGCTTAATTGTTTTAATCTTTAAGCAGGTTTATTTTTAATTTTATGTTTAAACTTAGCTATAGATAACTTTAAATAACTTTTAATTTATTAAATATAATTTTAGTTATAAGTACTGATTTAAATATATTTACTTATTTAAAATATAACAATAACTACAAAATATTAATTTTTATATTGTAAAATAACAGCTTAAAAAAGTTAAAAATATAATCGTTAGCTATAATGTTTGTATTTTTAAATAGTATAATATTAGCTTACATAAAGTTTATGAAAGTTTATAAAAATTTATAAAAGTTTAAAAAGTAAATTTTTAATTTATGTAAATATTGATTTTTTAATTTTTTTAAGCAGGTTTTATATTTGTAAAATATTAATTGATTTATTATGAAAAACATTATTTTTATTTTTTTAAATTTATGTTTAAAAATTATAACACTTTATTACAACCAATAACACATTTTTTATATATACCATTTTAATGTGAAATAATATTAATGGCTTTTATTATAACTTTTTTCTAAGTTTTATTATACTTAGTTTTGGTAAACTTATTTTCATTTTTAAATACTTTTTTTATAGTTTTTTATACAATTTTTTATTATTTATTTATTATATGGGGATGTATTTTCGTGTTTAAGAATTTTACTAACAATTTTTCTCACCTAAATAGTCCTTAAAAGATGTAAAAAGTGGTGGACCCAAAAAACACCCCCATATATTATTTTTTCATATAATAAGTTTGTTTTAATTATACACTTTGAATCTTTTCAATTCATTATCAGCTAAGAAAGCATTTGAAGATGCTTTTTTTTGGCTTTATTACTTTTCCATCTTTTAAGTACTATTTGAGTGGAAAAATTGTTAGTAAAATTCTTAAACACGAAAATACATCCCCATATTATACCTATAAAAAGTTTATTTTATTTATATAAATTAAAATATATAGCTATCAAGTTTATTTAAGGCTACAATGCTACATAAATAGTTATTTCTATTTAAGATATAATAAAATATTATATAACTAGATTTTAGACTACGCTTCTATTTCTTTATTACAAAATGTTCTTTATTTTAATTTATTATAAAATATTTACTATTTGGAGATGTATTTTTGCGTTTAAGAATTTTACTAACAAATTTTCCGCTTAAATAGCACTTAAAAAACAATGAAGCCAAAAAAACACTCCCATTTAATTATAAAAAACATTCTCTTTTATTTTGATATTTGCATCCGGTAACTATAATAAAAATAACTGCTATCGTGTTATATATAATCACCTAGTTAGAATATAAAAAAATTCTTTAATATAACAACCTAAAACTTTTTTATTAAATTATTTCCTAATATTATACTTTTAATAAAGCTATTAAGTTTTTTCAATGTTAGTTAAAAACTCAATTAAATTGTTTAAGTTTATTGTGAAATGTCACTTTATCAGCTCCATAATTGATTATAGCATAATAATCACTTAAGTTGTTGTGTTCTCGAGTTCGGAGACAATCAATCCCATGGTCTTATTTTGATTTGCTATGAGAATTTCTAACTTCATCCCAAAGAGTATTATCTTCTCGCTTTGATATTTATACTTTTCAGAGTATAAAAGAGTTTACAGAGTATAATAGTTTGAGACTTTTTAACTGAATTATTCCCTGATATCTCGAACATTTAATAAAGCCACTAAGTTTTCTTAATAGTATTTTACATAGATTTTACATTAGTATTGTCTATTCTATTTGTCTTATATAGCTTGTAACCTATTACGTGCTATTCCTCATAATCCAAGTCTATCTTAGTCACATAAACTAAGACCTTTCGACTTATAGTGTAGTCAACCCAGCAATAGCTGTTCTTGACTCCAAACCCTGAGTACCAGATTTCACACTTTCCGCTCAAATAGTGCTTAAAAAATGAAAAAAGTGATGAAACTAAAAAAAACAGCCCCATATAAACTATAATAAATTAATAAATTAATAAATTAATATTTTTGAAAATTTAAGAATTCAAAAATCCTTAAGCTAATTTTTTTAAAGATAAAAATTGAAATTTTATAATTATTACTACAAAAGTTATCAGAAACCTTTTTAATAAAATAATCACAATTATTAAAT